TAAAAGTGTTAATTATTTAAATATTATGTTGGAGGGCCTCATAATAAATAGTTGCATAGACCTCTAGAATCACCATACTTTGAATGCAAATTACCTTATTCATAATCTGCAATAAATTCACAAAATACTGGGCCAAAATAAACAGGCTAGAGAAGAGGAATCAAAAAGAGTTCACCTTTAATATTCTAAGGACACAAACAAATGAGGCAATGGAGAGAGACACTAGTAGGACAATAGAAAGCAAGCCAACAGAACATCACACAAAAAATGTAACACGAGACAATAATGTCTGATTCACATTTCCGAAGCCAGTATCATATCTGGAGTTGTTCCAAGCAATTCACAGCGCAACACCAGTAGAATTCTTCACAGTTACCTCAGCCTCAACTAGCGTTTTATTTGGAGGTGCAGAAACTGTTGCAGGTGTTGGGCTTCCTATATGGACAGGAAGAGCGTGAGAACTACCTGCCTGACACAAACAGGCGGGGATACTCTCACAGATTGGGGCTGAATTGGATGTGAAGGTGATGGACGTGGTGTTGCAGAGAAAACTGGCACCGAATTTCTTATTGGGACTGCTGGAGTAATCCCTTGATAAGGTGCCCTTCATTGTCTTACAGGGAGGTAAGGATCTGCCCCCAACATCAGGGAACGTCGGAATGTATATTATCCAAACTTCTGGAGATGGGGGCTGTGATAATGGTCGACAGGGTGGCAATGGAATATGATCGTCTTCATTTGCAATAAATGAAGGTTTGTTTTGAGGATCAGTTTTCTTGCATAAAAATGGAAGGATTTTGGATATGGGCGCTGTAGGTCGCTGAGGAATTGGGAGTTTTTTTCTGAAATGGCATGGAGATTCTGTTTGGGTTTTAGCCTTTACAAATTTTTCCTTTGCACGATTGTTCATAAGGCCCTTGCTATTCTTATCTGCTCCTGCTCATCGTTATTTTCTTTCTCCAACGAAGAACTAGCATCTTGCTGTGCCGCTGGAAATTTAAAAAGTAACACTTTTTGCTTAGGGTCTCAAAATTAGAACAAGAATTCTACAATAAGTACAGCAACGGCATTCACTGG